ATCTTTCGTGAACAAATATGCTTACAAAACAAACATTCACCTCTAAAATCCCATTAACCTGCAATACAATACAATACTACTTTTACTTTTTACTTTTACCACTCACCTCTCTTACTCTCTTGTGAAAATTATTTTTTTTAAGAAGTGTTTAGGGGAAGTCTAGTTGGCAAGGATTTGGGGTCTCTTGATCATTGTGACTTAAGTCTCAAGTTCGAATCTTCAGATGATCTTAATATCAAAAACTTTTGATATATCTGTTTTTGTACTTAATTGAAAGATGATTATGGTAAGAGTTCATTAATCCCGCTGTTGTTTGGGGGCTGTACGTGAAATTGCTTTATAGTTTGGCGTTTTAAAATTGCTTGAATTGAATTTTCTTTTTTTTTTTTGGTTTCTATTGGTTTTTTTTTAATATTAATGTTATAATATAATTCAAGTTATTCTTAAGAATAAGTAATGATTATATATGCATAGTCAATTTAATAAGGTAGAGAAGAAAACAAGTAAAAATAAGTGTCGTTTGGTATTCATTTCTTACTTTTTTTTAATAAAGAAAATTAGAATTACATGTCCCGAGTCTCATCCATTCATAAATGATAAAACAATATTTTTATTTATGTTTTGAAACAAATTAAAAACAGGAACCAGAAATTGTTTTCAAAATTTATATACAATTTTGATAATATTTTTGAAAAAATAAGAAATAAAAAATTAGTTGTCCAATGTTTAGGTTTAACGTGCCCTAAAATGTTGCTTTTATTTTATTTTGTTTCTTGTTTTGGAAACTATTTTTATTTTAAAAAAGAGAACTGTTTTATATGTGATTTCCAAACCTATCTCGCCTCCCCATTTGTGAGGCTTATTATTTATTATTTATTTATTTTCTGCAAGGATTCAAATTCTATTTTATGGAATGAATACTTTCACTATATAACTATTTTCATATTTAATGTGAGAAAAAAAAATCCATGAACTTCATTATTTATAAAGCAAGATCTTTTACGTGGTACTTAAACCCTCTTTGTTGGAGATAATCAATTATCATTAAATTAGACACACCAAATGTTGCTCTTTATGTAAAATATGAATGGTCAACCAGTTAAAGCATTAATAACATTTACTTCATTTTTCTCAAAAAAAAAAAACAAAAAAAGAATAACATTTACTTCCTCTCCTAATTCAAAATAAAAAGAAATAACAGTAAGTTTAATTTCTCTTTTCTTTTCTTTCCCTCTTTTTGACTAGATTGTTATTCTATTTTTTTAATCCTTTATAAAAAAAAATCAATTCACTCATTCTATGAACTCTTTCAAGTGAATTTACTACGTAGAGAGAGAAAATGCATGAACATAATATACAAGTATCAAACCATATAATTCTATAATCATTTCATCAACCCAAAACGCCAAATTTTTCATAGTTTTAATACTTTTACAGAACCCTCATACCTGAATCCACAAAAGAACTCTACAATTAAAAAGAAAGGAAAAAAAAAAGAGAGAGTAATGAATCCTATAACTTGTAGAATCTCGGTCCACTTTTAAAGTAACTATATCCCACTAATATCAAAGGGCAGAATTTATATAACAATCACCTTTGCCTATCACATTTTTCTTACATAAACCAAGTAAATATATATACTCTATCTATATTCTATGCACAAATGCAAAATGGAGCATATAGAAATGCACCTGATTTGTTGATGATGTTCGTGTAAATATCGATGGGCAGGCACCAACCAGTGCATTCAATCAAGCTTTTGAACCACGTCTGGAACCCGTCATTGTAGTGTATCGAGCGGTCGAGCAAAGATGAGCCTCATCATAGTCTTCTAGTGTGATTTCTATTGTACCTTCTACCACCACCGCCATTAAGCTTCCTATCGGAGTCCCGGTTGGTTCTTGGAGGAGTACAAGAAGATGCAGGGGAGCTGTGGGGTATGTTGGTAGCAGGGTCGTATCTTTGGGAAGCAAGATAAGATAAAGCTGTGACGACATCGGCAATCACAGGGCGCATATTTGGCTGCTCTTGAACGCACATCGCTGCAATTGCAAGAGCCTGATACAAACCCCTTGAAGGGTATTGGCCTCTGAGCATTGGATCTGCCATTTGAGCAAATCTCAGACGATCTTTGAATAATGGTCTTGCCTGCAACAAACGCATTTGTACAATAAGTGTAAAATATTTTGGAAGTCTTATGGTTTGCTGTACTAATCTTTTAGAAGATAGGCTTTGAGAATAGATCTAAAATGAACATTTCTATGTTACATCCCTTAATTAGAGTTCCTCATGCCTTGGTCTATGTAATTTCCCTCATTTTGGTCCTTATAATTTTGTAAGATGTGCAATATCTGGTTAAATTATATTAGAAGATGGATGTGACATACTATAGAAGCTCACATAGTATCACTTCAATCTTTCATATATATGCAATGCAACCATATGATTTATCAAAGTGACACAATTTTTTGTGGTGTCTGTCAACTTTCTTCTTATTATTTAACTGAATAATTACCGCATGTGACTAAATTGATATATTTATGAAAGTATGTGACTTAAGTTAAATAAATAAAAGTAGGTACCAACACGCTAAATGTAGCAAAAAATGGAGATTATCAAGCACGTAACCTATTTATGTCAATTACTTTTTAGGACAAAGTTTTCCAGATCTGAAAAGATGATAAATTGTTTCAACTACAGTTACCTCTGATGTTATATCAAAAACAAAAACGATAAGATTTCTAAAATTCCAGAATAACTAGACCTTATAACCCGAAAAATGATGCAGATATAGGTAAGTGAAAGATTTCTTACCCATGAAACCAGATTTTGCTCCCCTGCAGCTTTTGAATCATCAATCGCTTTCCTGCCTGTTATGATTTCTAGAAGAACAACACCAAAGCTGTAAACATCTGATTTGAGAGTCAACTGACCAGTCATTGCATATTCAGGAGCACAATACCCGTAAGTGCCCATAACTCTGGTAGATACATGTGTATTGTCTCCAACTGGCCCAAGTTTAGCTAGTCCAAAATCAGACAGTTTAGGACGATAATCTTCATCAAGCAGTATGTTAGAACTTTTTAAATCTCGATAAATAACTGGAGGGTTAGCTTTGTCATGCAAATACTCCAATCCTCGTGCTGCCCCAGCAGCTATTTTCATTCTTGTATTCCAATCTAATACCTTCGTACCAGGTGAAATGGCTGCAGAAAAATATGTTCATAAATCAGGGGAATTTTTCTATGGAGTAAAAATATACAAGGCATGTAGAAATTTCTATACCATGTAAATGGTCATCTAAAGATCCTAGAGGCATATACTCGTAAATCAGAAGCCTTTGATCTCCATCAGCACAATAACCAATCAGGTTAACTAGATTTCGGTGATGAAGTAGACTTAACATCAACACTTCAACGAGAAACTCCCTGTTCCCTTGCAACCCATTGCGATCAAGTTGTTTGATTGCCACAATCTACATTGAATGCAAAGAGAAATTTTAAGCTCCATGTCCAGCTTCCTTTCTAAGTAACAAAAACTAAAAAGGTTTGGTTGGATGGAAGTTTGGTTTTTCATTGAAAACCGAAAACAAAAAAGGTTTAATATTTTGGTAACCAAAATTTAACAGCCTTTGAACTGAGAAATAAGAAGCTGGAAAAATTCACACTAAATCACAATTCCGTTCATGGATACTTGATAATTGTACGACCAATCTTCCTTTTTCCCCAGTTGTACAGTCGTGTTATAAGAAACATGACCAACCTTATTGATGCTTTCCAAATGTCCTTTGTAAACTCTACCAAAACCTCCCTCGCCCAAAAGACAGTCTGCCCTAAAATTCCTGGTAGCCGCTGCCAACTCCCGGAAAGAAAAAATCTGTGCCTTGATATGTTCAGATCCTCCACCTTTCGAGGCTTCACTGAAGGAGGAACTTGACTTTAGCTTCTCTGTGAAAAGGAAAACAGATCAGTCAGAAAATCTTTTAAATGGCTCTGGATTTGATTCCCAAGATAGAAGTACCAATACAGGCTAAAACCTTATCTAAAGAGCAAATAACAAACAAGTCAGAACCAAAGGATATTGGAGAACAGAAATCAAGTAAACTCGAGGATATGATGTACTCTAAACTAATAATAGATAAATAGTTCATCATGGATTATATTCGTTGATATTTCATGATCCAATTGTGTACTCAGGAATGATGCGGCATAGTATTTTGCTATATTCAAACCGTCTATCTTGTAATCGCCCAGTTACTGAAGAAGTTAAGCATACAGCATCAATGCATAGCAAAATTCAAACTAGAATCAGAAAACCAAATGGCTCGTTGACGTGCTCTAAAATTGGATCGCGATACCGATCAATAAAACGACGCTTATAGACCATAAATCCGTCAATGCAAATCAGACGTCCAAGAATTTTCAAAAACACACTCCAAAGTCCAAACAAGGACCTGGATTAGTTTTATACTATATATAGAACGCAGTTCGTTTGATAATCAATGGAGTAACTATATTGTAACTACACCACTTACAAAATTCAACGGAAACTGAAATCAAAGAAATAAATCCAAAACTCAACCGAATCCATCCGAAAGAAGTGAATTCCAACTGCAACCACTGCACAGATTAAGAGACAAGCATACCTGAAGCAGCTTTGATCGGATCAACGCGGCTCTTCTGAGACTCCAACTTCTTCAATTTCTTGGACTTTGCCTTCCTGTTTGAATTTCCAGAACATGGAATCCAAATCATGCTTATTCAATCTCCTTTCTCCCGCAGCAGCAGCATCCAACCAAAAAAGAGGAATACAGTTGCCAAAAAGTATCCCGAATTCCCCAAGTTTAGAAAGCTCCGAAGAACTTGAGAATTGAAATCAGAGAAAATGAGCTTCAGCTGTCTCCTTGAAATTTTTGCTTTGTCTTTTCTCGTTTACTTTTCTCTCTCTCTCCTCAATATTTTCTTCTTTTTTTCCTCCATTTTCCCTCGCGTGAAAATCGGTTAAGAATTAAGATCTGAAACTCGGACAACGAAACGATGTCGTATTTGTTTGATTCTCTGAAATTATTTTCAATTGGGCTTTTATTTCCGTTGGGCCCATTTTGATCCCTTTTGGGCTTTTAGGGCCGAACCACACCAACCGACTTGTCGTATGGGTCTTTTCCACTTTGTCGTGGTAGTTGGGATCACGTCGTATTAAATTATGTTTACAACCTTCATTTGACAGCCTACGTGGCATGTATTTCATATATATTATGTATATTTGGAGAGAGAGAGGGGGACAAGAATGGCAAAAATGTCAAATTCAAGGTCATATGTCTGACCAAAGAAAGTTTAACAATAAACAAAAACATGTGAAATAAAATTTTAAAATATGAGTTTTGATTTTCAGTTCGCATAAGTGACAAATTTTAAATATATCATATTACTTTATTTTATATTCCTTTGCAATTTTTATTTTTTATTTTTATGGTAGGTGTAGAGATTTGAATTCTTTATATTTAATGTTACCTTGGCTTTTCTATTTTTGATTTTCATCGTCTTGATGTCTCTACTTTCAGTAGATCATAATTTTAAATATATTTCATTCACTAAATTTTTTGAAATGTAACTATAAATTTGTCTAATATAGTTTTCACACTATATAAAATTAGTGTTAAAATTTTTCTTAATATGTATCAAATTGGTCACTTTTTAAAAATTCAAGAATCAAAACATTGTGCATGATTAAAATGAACAAAATTTTAAAATATAGACACCAAGATAAACATTTGAAAATACATAGATCAAAATTAACCAAAGTGAAAAGTGTTGCTAAAAAGATATTTAATGCTAAACATTATACGTGAATATTAGACATTTTTTGTGTTATTTTTTTAGACGATATAAACTCCATATTGTTTTCTGATCCTTTGTGTTAAGAATAAGATCATCGCCAAAGTTAGAAGAAAGACGATTTATTTATTCGAATTAAATTAAAACAAATAACTTTCCCTTTCAGAAAGGGAATTTTTCTTCTGTATTCAATAATTAATGTGAGAGAAATGTTTGATTTTAAAGGACCAATGAGAAAAATATTAAACAGAATAATCCCAACGAGCAAGCTGGAAAACTTTATGTCAGCAACAACCAGCAATGATTTCTGCTTCAAAAAATTTATGTTATATTTATTTTTTAATACTTATTATGTATTTTGTAAGTCAAAATGATAAAAGAGTACTTTTATCTATATTTTGAAAACGACTATAAATATGAATAAGAAATAAGAAATTTAATTTGATTGTTTATAAAATTTTTATACAATTTTAAAAACATTTCTTCAAAATAAGAAACAATAAACATTTCTTCAAAATAAGAAACAATAAACATGAATAGTTACTAAACGCAGAAATGGAAATTTCAGGAGGCTGATTGATAACCATATCGGCTTTAGTTTTATATTATAAAAAATAGGATGGTTTTTGTACACTTTTATTAGTAAGGTTTTTCACCTCTCTTGAAAATATATTTGAATTCTTAACTAAATTTCAGAAACAATAATTTTTTTTTTCCAATTTGGCATGGATTTTGAAATTGTTTATAAATATTATATAACAAAACAAAGAACACATAGATATAGATAAAAGTAATACTACTCAGCTTAATTTTTAAAAACAACGAACCAAAAACGAAATAGTTATCCAATAACCTTTTAGTTGCTACTCAACTTAATTTTTAAAAACAACGAACCAAAAACGATATAGTTATCAAATAACCTCTGAGTTAGTTAAGTTTATTTATTTATGAGAAATAACGTGTATATTTCATTACATCGGACAGGGATGTTGAGAGAGAGGCCAGACATGATTGTGCCCTTCGACGGAAAGTTTTTTCAACCCCCAAAAAGCGCAAAGGCAAAGGCTGAAACTTTCTGCTTCAGAAAAGTGCAATTTGCTCCATTTTTGGAAGAGGAGAGAAGCAAAAAAATGCTACTATGTTTAATGTCTACAAGTCTAACAAACTTATTGAAACTGCTTGAAAATTTACTCAAAACTTTGGTAAAAATATCACAGTAGACAGAAGGTATTAACTAGGAACAAAAATGAACAGGTGAAAGTTGAAAGACTTGGTTCTAAAGCACAATGAAGAAGAGTAGTGCAAAGGAATCATACTCGTGGAAGCTGTGAACGTCGAAAATGAAACGACGTGCCAATGTAGTTGAGCAATGCCACAATGATTTCTTCAAAATTGTTCTTGTCGACCGTTCTTCGAATCGCTTGAATCACTTGAATGTCTCTTTTCCATATATTGGCTTTGTTCTGCTCCATGAATGAACCGATCTATTTGCTTCTATTTGCTGGTTTATTCTATTCCGGGAGCTACAGGATCTGCATTTCCTAGTGAAATACCATGGTTATGTTTTCCTTCATAAGTAGTGATAAAGGAATTTGGATCATCCGATGCTCGTTCGACGTACTTGCGTGCTTTGCATTTGAGGCCAGTGCATCTGTAGTAACTTCTGGAAGGCAAGAAAACTTAAGTGAGATGAATACTCGAAACAGATATATAAGCGAGCCCACGAGCGAAATTCAACAGCAGAACTTGTCTGGTAACATACCACCAGCCACCAGGTTGGTGAGGCTCATGCTGTTATTTAAACTGAAAGCGATTACTCCTTTTGACTGACAATATTTCATTGGGGAGTTCTTAAAAGCTATAATTTGTAGAAACAAGTGGAAGAATGATGGTGGCAATTTAAACAAGAAAGATCAGAAGAATCTCCATTGCAACTAGCATTAGGTGCATACACGAATATTAGGCAACTTGATCAGAATGGAAACAAATAAGATGGAATAAGGAATATGGTAAAGACCAGAATGAAATCGAGTTCAACGCAGATCTTTGAGCCCTTACCGGGGATATATATTTCCCTTCACAACTTTCTGACCGTATTTCCTCCAGCGAACGCCTTTGCCAAGAATCTCGATATCGGTAGAACCTTGAGCCATAGCATGGGGCTGTTTCAGAGTACCAGCTTCATTTGTTGAATTTTTGCCTTCCCTGATTTGGAATTGAACAAATGTAGCTCAAAATAAGGAAAAAAAAGTACAAAGGGGCAAGCAAGCAAAACCCGAATGTCAGATTATACTAAGATCCCTCGCAAAGTTATCTTTATTTAAGATGGAAAGTTGTTTTGTAACCATAGGAACAGAGATGCAAATCTTGTAACATTTTCTTACCTTCTTCTGCTTCGCAATTTATCAGCTACGGGCGCAAGTCCCTTGCTTCCTTCTTCACGTTCTACACTTAGACCAAATGAGTAACCAGAGACTCCACACCCAGCATTGGCTTCTCTACTTGCAACCGGATCAAAGGGTTGTGTGACTCTGCCTAGACAAGCTTTTTCGTATGGATTCTCAAGCCTACTTTCACGACCTCCTATTTGTTCGTTGAGGTAATTAAACCGTAACTCGGAATTAGTATCTTGTGCAGTTCCGTTTGATATCGATCCTTCCCCTTGTGTCCCAGATGAGTTGTGCTTCAGAGGCTGAGGCTTTGGGTGGTTGTGCTCACCTTTGTAAACAATTTCAGAAATTATCCCGTCCAATGATCTCTCGACCTTCTTTTTGACAGGACAATTTGGATGTGTGCACTTGTAATAGCTCCGTGGGAACTCGCTTCCCTTAACTTGCTTTTGCCCATATTTCCGCCAGTTATACCCGTCATGAGAAGGCTGAACAGAACTAATTTGAGGACGAAGTGATGTTGGATCTTCTTTGCTATAATTCAACGTCACTCTCGAGCTTCCAATAGACTGACTGTTTTCAAAGGTGGATGTCATGTTCCGCGGAAGATTAGAGTTCGGTGCAGATTCGACATTGTCTTTATCTTGGTTCGAAGATTGAATACGGTCCTCGACTGGTGGCAGTGGTAAATGATTTTGCGCATTGATGTTCCCCTAGTAAAAGAGAAGACAGTAAAGTTATGTAGATTCTCGAGTGATCAAATCCCCTCTTTCTTTCACATTTTTGTGTAGCACCGTGGTATTTTCAGAGCATCAAACAGATACAGAACTGAACAAAACCCGATGTGCTAGCATCTTCTATAGAGTATATACAAGCAAAGAAATCGAAGTGCATATATAAACAGATGTAATAACGAAGCCACTTACTATGAGGGACAACTGAGAGATTGTCCTTTTTGATACATGTTTTGCCAAAGGTTTAAACAAAACAGTGGATTTGCTGTCTGAAATGGAGAGATTATAAGATGAAGTACCTGATACTTTGGCCTGAAAATGTTGGATGTCACATCATGAGGTGCAAAATTTTGAAAAGAAAATGAACTGTAGAAGTAAATATCATAGAGGAACAAATCACCTTGGGTGGTGGAGCAGGATCATCCTTCAGCTTAAACCTCACTGTCTTTGGTCTAACGGCAGCAACCATGCTTTCAGATGCCGTATGAGGTGGAGAAGTACCAAAGGCACTCGCAAGAATATCTGAGAATGACTTAAAACTGGAACACGTTGGCCTCGAAGCGACCGGTTTGGCGATAACAACTCTCTCTGCCGCTTTATTGTCCATAATGTACAAGAATTCAGGAATGATATGCTTACGGAGACTCAAGAAAACTTCAACAACCAAATAATTATTTCCCGGAATGCTGTATACAATGGCATTAGGAATTACAAGCTTGAGGGAGTCCAAAAAAGAATTGTGACCAGTAGATGCTTGAGCAGTGGCTTTTCTTCATACCTATAATACACAGAGAAATTCGATTGTATTGCCTTAATCTTCACAATTCAAATTGATGGCATGTTAATCCTTTCAGCTCTAGACAAGAACAAACACATAACATTCTAAAAGTGTCTTGCCAAGATTGTTTTCTCTAGAAAATGATTACAATTGAAAGCAGGTGCGTCCCATTTACGAAACTCATAAGGTAATACAGAACATTCAGCACTATAATGAACACATGAACTGAAGAACAAAGCCAATAAACATCATAACGATGACAAATCCAAACACCAGAACAAACCATTCTACAACTCTTTCCGTTGGTTCATATTTAAAATGACTTCAACTAGATACTCAACTAATTGATCAGAACATTCAAACTTCCAAGTCAAGGGAAGAACAGATAAATCAACAACATCAGAGAGAAGGAAGCGAAAACAGACCATATTGCTCCAACCCCGTCCATGGATTCTCGAACCACCCATTCCCTCAATAGTTCAACCATTTCGAAGCGGCTTTTTCTAGCACAAGATTGCACAATCGAAGCAAAATGAGAGACCCCATTTACTGAAACGATCACTCAAGTGTAAGCAAAGATCAAGAACACGAATAACAGAAATCCGAGGCGAGAAAAAGAGAATCGGGTGGTGGCCATTTTGGGGTTTTAGTTAGATGGGAGAGGGAGTGGGGACGAAGAGGAACAGGCGGTGTCTCGCCAATCCCGCCAACGGCCAAGCAGGAAATCCCACAACTGAAATTCCACTCTCAAGAATGGTAGTTGAAAATTTTTTGAATCGGGCGATTGCAATTTGCACGTGCCACGGCGAATGGGAAACTCTCAAGTCTCAAGAATCAATTCATAATCCTTTGGTAAATCAGCTTCCAAGTTACCCAGTCTGCGGTTCATGGAGTGAGATTTTCGTACGTTACACTCAAATTAGGTTTAAATACTATTTCTCGAGTAGGGTGTCCTAAAGTTCCTCCACTGAATTGTAGTACGGAATATCTTAAAAAATCTCGATCAAAGTAGGTGTCAGTTCAAGCTATCTTCTGTCTCGAATAAGAAAACGGGAGTCCGAAACTCCGACATCGAGGAAAGAAGTATATGTCAATGTTATGCTCGTATTTGCTTGAGTCGCCACTCCTACGGTCATAATTGAATTTTTTAACCTTATAAATTTAAAGAAGAATAACAATGAAAAAGCTAAAGATGATTATGGGTCCTTTTCACCGTTTAATTTTGTTCATTATCTTTATCTAGTTATATCACATTGGATGCCGAATTTGAAATTTAAATCGTGATTTCGAAATCCAAAATGACACTCCACTCATTTGATGCTTATACCAAGATTGCAGATGGATATTTATAAAAAAAATTATATCAAATATTTAAATTGACGAATAAACAATTTACTAAATAATATTAAAATGATTAATTAATTATATGTTAATATTTTTTACAAAAGGTTTATTTAAGTTAAGGGATAGGTAAATGACATCCATCTCACTCTTAAGGCTTAAATTTCAAAACTATCAATTTATTTATTTATTATTATTATTATTATTTTTACCATTTTGGTTGATTATTAGTACAAACTTGATGGTATCATTCCATCTAAATTGGGTACCTTATAAGAGCTTTTTTTTAAAAAAAATAATAATAATAATAGCTTAATTTTTTAATCTTCGTGACAATAACTTTTATAGAATTTCTTCCTTTAATAAATTGAATTAGTAATTTAATATGCAATATATTGAAGTCGATACTATCTCGAGCCCCCTACCGTAATTGAAATTTTAAAATGAATTTAAAAAAAACAAGCAAAACTAAGGATAAAAAAACCAACAATATCCGAACATGCTCCTTACGATCCTCTTCTCTATTCGGATTTGTTCAATTTCGTTATCTAATTATATGAGATTGGATGTTGTATTTAAAATTTAAATGTGATTTCAAAATTCAAAATGTCATTTATATATATATACTCTCAATTACATTTGCTTTATTCTTCGTTCTTTCAGCAAGAATTTTGTTTCGTATTTCCTCTCATTTTTACTTCCGATTCTAAGTGGATTCAAATTTTCAGAGGGTAAACATTTGTCTTCTTTCATTTGTTTTCTTCTATTTTTTCTTTCATTCTTATAGCCTTCTTTTTCGTTGCTAGTGAAACATCTAAAAATAAGGAAAAAAACAAGTCTGATTCTTTCAAAATAAGTGAAAATGAGCGAAATTGTTTTCCGTATCTCATAAGAAAGAAGAAAAAATAATATATATTATATTTCCTTATTCATTTCATCATCTTTATCTCTCTTTTTCCTCTCTCTATCCTACATTGTGATCGCGGTCCTGCGGCCCCTCTAAAACCCATTTTGTATTTGTTTTTATTTTTCCGTTTTGTTTTTATTTTTTATTTATTTACCTTTTACTTTTAAATATCTGCTTCTTAATCAAATTTTAGAGGAACTTTCAAATTTTCTTTTATTTATTAATTTATTTTATTACCATTTTAGTTAATTATTAATTTTGAGAACGATCTTGATGGTATCATTTCCATCTCAATTGACTTTAATTTTTCGTGAGAATGACTTTTCTACATTTTTCTTCTTTCAATAAATTATTTGTAATTTAATATGTAATATATTAAAAAAAATTAAAACATTGGCCTTAGACCTTATATTATCTCAAGTCATCCACCATAATTGAAATTTCAAAAATTATGAATTTAAATGAAAAAATCTAACAAAACTAAGGATGAAAAGAACTGACCAATAACTGGACAAAAAAAATCAATACCCAAAGATGTTCCTTATAGGTCCTCTTCTCTATTCGAATTGGTTTAATCTATTTATCTAATTATATCATATTGTATGTTGCGTTTGAAATTTAAACTTGATTTCAAATTTTAAAATGTCGTTCATAAATTTATATATTTAGACATATATATACTTTCAATTACATTTTCTTTATTCTTCATTCTTTCTAACAAGAATTTTGTTTGGTATTCTCTTTCAATTTTATTTCCAATTCTTAGTAGCGTAAGATTTTGAGAGAGTAAGCACTTGTTTTCTTTATCTTTTTTTCTTCCATTTTTACTTTCATTCTTTTGGCCTTCTTTTTCGTGCTTTTTCTTATTTGTCAACAACAAAATGAGTGAATTTTTTCCCCATCTCAGCAAGGAGAAAGAAGAGAAAAAAAAAATATATTGCATTTCTTTTATTTATTTTTTATTTTTATTTTTACCATTTTAGTCGATTATTAATTTTTTTTTTCAACAAAATTTTAATGGTATCATTCCATATGAATTGCCTTAATTTCTTAATAGTGGCCAGAATTTCTCTATAATATTTTTTTTTTCTCTCAACAAGTTAAATTTGTAGTTTAACTTATAATATATCAAGTTTCTAACCAAAAAACAATCTTTTTTTTTCCTTAGACCTTATAATATTTTAAGGTTTTGAAGTTTTTAAAAAATATGAATTTAAATTTAAAAAATAATGACAAAAATAATGATGAAAAAAAAAGAAAAATAAATAAATACTCGAATTAGATTCTTATCTATTAGCTATATATGTATAGATATATGTATAGATAATAGAAGTGTGAGTGACATTTTAATTTTTAAATGGGATTTCAATATTGAAAATGACACTCACACTTCTATTATATATATATATATATATATATATATATATATATATATATATATATCATTATCTTTGCTTTATTTTTCATACTTCGGATCGTGAGCAACTTTTCTTTCATTTTAGTAGACGTCTAGAGAGTGAGAATTTCCTTTCTTTCATTTTTTTTCTTTCATTCTTCTAGCTTCTTTTGTTTTTTTTTTTTCTTTCTTCTTCTCTTTATCATTGTTAAGGAATCATGTTTCCGGTTTATAATTAAAAATAAAAAATTCAAAAAGTAAAATTTTTGAAAACCAAGAAAGATGATAGGGATCTTTGAAAATGAGTGAACAAAATTTCCTTAAATTTTTTACGTAGTACATCGAGATGAGGAGGCAGAAAATTATATTCCTTCCTTCTCCTTTTAAGGTAGAGATAAATTAGGGCAATCCTCTAGGGTTCTCAATTTTTTTTATAAATATTAAGATTTTAATATTTATTATAAATTTTCTCCTAAAAAAATGTCTAGTGTAAATATAAATACTCCCGAAGTCAATTATTAATTAACCTTTAAATTTTCAAAAACTTTCAAATTCTCTTTTTTTTATTATTATTATTATTTTACTTTTTAGTCCATTATTAATTTTTTAGAACAGATTTGATGGTATCATCCCATCTGATTGGCCTCAATTTTTTAATATTGACAATAATTTCTTTGTAAGTTTCTTATTTAAAAAATAAATTGGTCTTAGATCCCATAATATCTCGAGTTGTTTGTTAATGACCATATGAAGTTTTTTTTTTTAATATGAATTTAAACTTAAAAAATAATTTTGCAAAACTAATGATGAAAAAAGAAAAATAAATAAATACCCTAATGAGATTCTTAAATGCCACCTCACACTTCTATATATATACATACTTCTTATTATCATTGTTTTATTCTTCATACTTCCGATTGTGAGCAACAATTTTCTTTGGTAGTTTCTTTAATTTTAGTAGACTTCTAGAGAGTGAGAATTTCTTTTCTTTCATTTTTTTCTTCTATTTTTACTTTCATTCTTCTTGCTTTCTTTTCTGCTTCTCTGTATTATTGGTAAGCAAATCATATTTTCTATTTTAAAATTAAAAAGAAAAAATTTTGAGAAAAGGAAGTTTTCAAAAATCAAGAAAGAAGATCAATGTTTTTTATTTTAAAATTAAAAAGAAAAAAGATTCAGAAATTGAAATTTTCGAAAATCAAGAATGGTGTTTTCTATTTTAAAATTAAAAAGAAAGAAAAATATTCAGAAAGTGGAATTTTGGGAAATCAAGAAAAAAGAGATCGATGTTTTTTATTAAATTAAAAGGAAAAAAAAGATTCAGAAAAAGAAGTTTTCGAAAATCAAAAACCATGTTTTCTATTTTAAAATAAAAAAAAAAGATTCCGAAAGTGGAATTTTGGAAAATCAAGAAAAAGATCGATGTTTTTATTTTAAAATTAAAAAGAAAAAAAAATTCAGAAAGTGGAATTTTCGAAATTCAAGAAAAAAGATCTTAAATTTCCTTAAATTTTTTTCATAGATCGGTAAGAAAAAGAAAGAACAAAATTGTATTCCTCCCTTAATGTCTTAATTATGTATCTTTTTAAATTTCCTTCATCGTGAATCGTCATCGTTGTCCTGCATGCCTTTCATGGCTCCACTAAAACCCATTTATAATTGTTTTTCTTTTCTTTTTTTTTTTTATTCATTTGCTTTCTGCTTTTAAATATCTGGTTTATAAATTTTAAACAAAGATTGTAATTAAATATCTGCTTCCTAACCAAATTTTAAAGAAACAGATCTTAAATGAGGATTATAATTATAATTTTTAATCTTAATTTTGTTCCTTTTTTTTCAATTTAGTTTCATCAATCCTTAGCGTATAACCATGAAGCTCCCAAGTTGTTACAAGTTCAATCCCAAAAATCAAGAAATCTTGGACTACTATCTTTTTCACAAGATTGTTGGAGAGTTCAAGACTCCGCTTCAGTTGCCCGTGATCGATCTTTATAGTCAAGAACCTTCCGAGATATGGGAAAATTTGGGATGTACYGATGGAGAAGACCTCTATGTTTTCACTAAGYTGAAAAGGAAGCGTACTCGCGTGATTAGAAAAGTCAGTGMCTCTAATGCTGGCACTTGGAGTGCTGAAACAGCACCTACTAAAATATTTACTACCACCACTCCCGAGATCCTACTGGGTACTATGAAACGTTTTCATTACGAAAACGGTCAAGATTGTGGTCCATTTTCATGGATCATGTACGAGTATTCTCTCGATCCCTCCATTYTACCGTCAACCACCACAATTGATATAAAAGATTCCTACGTACTCTGCAAGATTAGAAAAAAGATGAAAAATGTTGAGGATTCTCRAGAGGAAGTTCCCACGAAACGACAAATTGTGTATGATGGTCCAGATCCCAAACGCAGAAAATTAGTACAAGTAATGCACAATGAATTTCAATTTTCGAATGATAAAGGACTTGGTGGTGTTGTGTGGTAAGATTTCATTTTTTCTTTTTTCTTAATTATTATATTAAATTATTTTATATTTTTTTTAGTAGGGATCGAACTCACAACCTCATGGTTTATACTTATGACTAATAATGACGACCTCTAACGTTTCTTTTTTTTT